TTCTCCTGCTGGGCAGACTCCCTGTGGCTTGGCCAGATCCAGCACTCTGCATGCAGGGGGACCAGAGCGACAAAGCTGAGGTGCAGAGATGTTCATATAGAGTCTTGGTTCAAACTGCAGCAGACTGGGGCTAGTTCAGAGGTCTAATTCCCTTGCCTCCATTCCATCCTTGCATAGAGGCTTTGGACTGGGCCCACACTGCGCAAAAGGGAAGAAAAAAATTCTGTGCTCAAGAATATAAGTGAGCAGGGAGAGCAACCCAAACAACTGATACACCACACATATCATATTGAACTCCCCCTTCTCCAAACAGCCTTGCTCAAGTCTATATTCAGTATAATTTACATGAAAATTGCACTGTATCAGCAACAGATTGCTGAGCCTTGCCTTGTGGACTCAGGACAGAAGAGCAGCAAACCACCACCAACTCATCCCTCAGGTCTCTGGCTGCCCAGTGGCATCCCTAACTCCAAGTCAGAATCCTGAGGGATGGTGTACCTAGGAGAGGTGCTGATGAAAGCTGAACACTGCATGAGGAAACACCCCACCAACCAGTAGGAAATGCCAAGGAAAGGGCTGTAACATGAACTTCTGCATCCCCAGAGAACTTGCAAGTACCAAAGGGAAGTGCCCAAGAGAGCTGAATGGTGCCATTAGGACCTGGCAGCTGGTTTCAGGCCGGGGTAGGGTATGTGGGGAGCATTCCTGGGACCCAGCTCTCACCTCTAAGGAACATTCACTTATTTTACGCTACATGTGGCTGTTCAGGGTGGGGGCGGGGGGGATCACAAAAATGTTAGCCCCCTTGCTGAAGCTCCAGGTCTTTGTAATATTTTGCTTCTGGAGGCGTTCAAATTCTTTCTCACCAAGGATGAATGCAAAATTGCATCTTCCACAGCGGAACCCAATTCGCTGTTCCCTGAGGTAAAGACAGCAGCTCTCACACGCCTCCACAGCCTCACTTTGCTGTCAGGCAGGCTCAGCTGCTCTCTTAGCTATTTTGAATGTCTCTTGAGTTCAAGCACTACTGCAGAGCAGGGGCTCTCACACCGTGGTATCTCCACAATATTGAGGGAAAAGGGAACACCCTTATCCTGCCTGCCCTCTGTCAGTTCGCATCCAGCACTTCCTCCTCTTGAAAACAAGCCCAGCCTCCCCCAGCCAGCTCAAAACATCTGGACCAAGTACATCACAAATTCAAGTCAGAGATAACACAACAGGGGACAAAACCCAAAGTAAAACAGCAAACAAGAAATTACCCCTCCACAAAATTCTACCTCTGGTTTCTACCTCGGATGCCCCATCACAGTGGCTAAGCCCACCAAAACTGTGCTGCAGAAGCCTTTTAAGCACAGGGATTAAGGCAAACCCCCTGGCTCCACCGCTGTCTGTGCCCAGGGCATCCTGAGTGCAGCACTCTGGGGCTGTCCGTGCAACCCAAGACCCAGAGAGTACTGCAGAGCAGCTGAAGGAGGAGGAGGAGGCTTTTCCTGTGGCTGCCTTGTGGCTCCCAGGGTTGTTGGTTAAGTGCAGAGCTCTGGAAGGTGCAGAGGGAATTAAACTCCCCAGTGTACACAGTGAAGCTCCTGAAAAGCTATCCCTATAATTAGCTGTGTACACAGCGAACACAGTCACCAAGGCCATTGCTTTGCTCCCAGGCTTGTTTACAGAACCAGAACTTCATGCCTGTCCTGTTTTGTTTCCCTCCAGCACTGAGGAAAAGTCACGTCGCTCTGCCCAGTTCCTGCAGCTGTTGTGTCCACACAGGGCCAAGACACAAACCTCAGACACCCATGCAGCAGGCCAGTTCCCCTCACACTGTTTGGTCTGGACCACAGAGGTGCGTGACACTGGAAACATCTACCACGCCAAAGCTCCTTGCAGATGTTTCTGCAGAAGACTTTCCCACTTTACCTTACTGCAGAGAAAGCAGTACAACCCTCCCTAGGGAGGAACAAGCTATAGCCATAAAAAGGAGCAATTTTCCCATTGAGGGAAAGCAAGCAGGGCTCTTGCTGAGAGACACAACCCTGCATGTTCTAGAACTGATATAAAACCAGGAGTTCAAAACCATCACACACCACTGACATGGGGATGCTGGTAGGCCGGTGTGACTTTGCTCTGCCTGGGCTCTGGGCCAGTGTGAGGTGAGCCATCTCTGATCCTCAAAGCTGTAGTGTGTGACAGAGCCTGGGATGAGACCCTGTGGTTCCCCAGTGCTTCGGAGGGGCTGAGACCTGTGCTCACACCTTCACATAGCCCCAGGGTCAGAGATAACTGACCCTTCCTCCACCATGCCCCTCGCACAGGGCACACGCAGGCCTGGTGAGCCTCACGCATTGCACAGGGAACTCCAACACCAAAGTCAAGGCTTCATTCATGCTCTTCCAGTCCAGCACTGCAACCTCTGCCCACACCCAAGGGCTGAGCTACCAGCCAAAATCAGTGAGATATTCTGATGCCTTAGACCCTTTCCCTCTCTTTGGGGCTCAGCCTCCTGCTCTCAGCATCGTCCCCACACTTCTGCATCCCTTCTTGAATGTGCAAAAGCCACAAGAACTTCTTGCAGGATTCAGGCATATATATTGCCACTAGACATGCATTCATTCAAGAGGTCATCTGATGCAGACAGTTCTCTTCCCTGGCTCTCCCACTGGTGAAGGCATGCTTTGCTCTGCTCACCAACAGCATCTCCTGGGTAAGCTCACCAAGCAGGAGAGAGGCTGCAGAACAGCCACATGATGCTACCGGGCAAGACCCCCCTATGCCAAGGAGTACCACCAAGAAGCAGTCTTCACTTGCAGCTTCAGGACTAGCGTGTAAATCCAATGCACCAAACGTGGTAGCAGGTATGTGACCCACCCAGAAGATTCTCACGCTTCAGAGAAAAGACACTTAAGAGGTCTGCAGAGATGGCTCACTCCAGCTGTTACATGAACACTACACCCATGGGCCAAACTTTATGGCCTTGTAGGCTCCAGCTGATGACAGTGATATCTCCATTTCTGGGGCCACATGCTAGTGGTAGAAGGTCACTGTAGAAGGGCTACTCAGAAGAGAGGACACTCAAGTAAAACAGTTTTAAGGGCTGAGGGCAGATGCCTCCACTTCTACCACCATAAAAAAAGAAATATGAACCACATAATGCCCCAAACTCACCTCTCCCTTGACATCTTTAGTGTTATCATCTAGCTGTGTCCAAGAGCAATACCACAGGTTCTTACAGGCCACATGCAAACCAGAAGTCAGGGAGCACTCAGCTGCAACAAGGAGAGAACTGAACAGACAGAGATGGTTTGCCTCTCTCTCCTCTCCTCCCTCTTTTTCTGCTCTTTTCTGAACTGCCTAAGTTAGGAAACAATTCTTGGCTATCGCATTGACCATGGAGCTTCTGAGACCCCATATTGCCCACCACCCTGCCTCTTAGGGGAGAACTTCCTGTGCAGGGAGACAGTTTCCCAACCTTGCCAATACAAGGCATAATCCTGAATACTGTTTTGGTCATATCACTCTTCCTCAGAAATATGCAGCAATTTTGATTCCACATACCAACTGCTACAGCATTGGGCTTGCTTTAGGTAAGCAGAGCAGAAGGAAGGGCAGGGCACTAAAGCAGCTAAGTCCAGCTACATGGGAGACAGAGCCCTAGGGAGGTGAAAGACATCAGCTTGATCCACGTGGAAGAGGCAAGAGCTAACACAGGGCTGGCACCTGCCTCTCTATTGTACTGAAAGCCTCCCGGCTGCGGCCCTCATCGTCGTGGCTGGCAGTTATTTTCCATCCCTTCCAGCTCCTGACTTCTCTTTCTGTGATGGAGAGCTGTGTTTGCCTCATCCAGAACAACTTCTTTCTATTCCCAGTTCTTTGCCTTGGGGTAATCTCTGAGAAAGGGCTGAGGTTTCTCAGCTCTGTGCTTCCTAGACTCCCTGTCCCAAGCCAACCCAAGTCTCTCAAGTCCTGAGAGACAATGCAGTCACTGTTTGACAGGAGCATCCATCCTTCATGCCAAAGGATGCTGAGCCAAGTATGAGGCAAGATTACTGCATGCATCTAGTACAGCAGAACAGGGATGGCTCATATACCTCACCTGCAAAGTCCCCATCCCGTGTACACCAGCACTGGGACCTGTGAGAGATGACTGAGATCAATAAACAGACATTAGCCTTTCCCTGTAATGCAGTGTGGAGATATCCCCTATCTTGCAATGCAACTTTCTACTGCCCTTCTGCCACAGCTCCCATCTCTCTTAGCCTCAATCTGCACCTTAGGCTCATTCATTTTTTCTGCACCAACTCAGATCTGCTATACCCAATGCTGTTCTGATCCCAAACTTTCACAGAAATCTCTCATCCTGGTAGACATATCTGTTGATGATGGGTCCAGTTCCATGGGGAATTATTCTTAGCAACCAATCTGACTGGTTAGGCATTGCAAACATGAAAGGAGATTTTTGAGCTTACTGAGAAATACAAAGGCTTTGTCCTTAAGTGAAAAATGTGGGGAGTGGGAAGTCACATATTTGCATAAAAATTCAGGCTATTCACTTTCTGCTTTATTTAGTAAAATAAATGGAAAATTCATGTGATGTCAAGCAACCAATCTGTTCCTAGTATCAGGAGAGGCTGACAGTGGATCCCAAAAGCAAAGAGAATGAGCGAAACATATCTCTGGGAACTACAAGCTTTATCTCTGATATTGCCATTTTGCTATATCACCCCTTGCTCCAGCAGAGGTGGCATGGAAGGACACGGTGTAGGGCAATACCAGAGCTTCTGGAGTACTGAGAAAAGAGAGCTAGAGCCAACAAATTAGAAGGGATAAGAGATTCCTAGAGAGGACAGATAGCATATATGTACATAGCATGGAGATGGGAATCCATTACTGATTTGGCCCCTTAATCCTACTATCCCAGGAATTCCTGAGCTGCAGGGCTCAGTGAACTCTTCATACACCAGAAGCAGATGACTCTGGGCACAGTCATCCTGTTGGCTGAGAAAGAATCAGAGTTCCTCGTTGCGGGCCTTCTCCTCAGGTTCGTCTTCTTTCTAAAACACATTAGAAGCATGAAATCGGTTTTGATGTTGCTCGGTTTCTCAGCATAGTGAAAAAAAGGAAACAAACCAACTTTAATGACCCCCTCCGCTGTTTATGCCACCACCCTGCCTATCCCATTTCAATTGCACAGCACAGGGTCCTTAAACACAAAGCCTCTATGCTATAGGAAGATGAGCTTCAACAGAGAGAGAACTCTTAACAGTGAATGAACATGGAGATTAAATCGTCCCTCTCCCAGCAGAGACCTCTGGTGAAGTCCTGAGCCCCTGTCTGTACACTCTGCTCTGTGGCCTTCTTGATAGATTTCCTTCCTATCCATGCCACTGTCTCTCTGATCTTAAATGCTGACATCCACCACCCCCATTCTCAGTGTCCAAAGGGACCCTTCACTCTCTCCCCCCAGTTGCTGTTTGCAGAAAATAGATGCTTCACTGAGACCTTCATACAGTTGCAGAGGTCAGCGAAGTTTTCTTGCTGTAGCCTAGAAGGTAGAGGTCAATGAAGAGACTCTGCAAAGACATCTGACTCTGCTCTGCTCTAGATCTAATGCTCTTCTGATATTCAGGTGCAAATGCAAATGAAAGAGGAGGTGGCACGGGTGGGGAGGCGTTCAAGGAACTGAAGTCATCTTCTTCAAGAGCCTTGTGAGAAACAGCATATTCCTACAAGATCCCAGCTTCCTGTAGACTGTACAGGAGTCTGCCTTTACCTTCTGCATTCTTTGTAAGAAACGATTACAGAAGTCCTGTATACGCTCAACAGAGACTTCATCCGGAGTCAACACATCCTGCTCCTCATCTGGTACATGGAATATAGCCAGAGCTGGCAGCTGGGACTTCTTCAGTTTGAAGAATGATACTGTTCGTTCATTGCTCTTCAAATTGCTGTCTACTAGGACAAAAAGAATCTGTAATGGGAAAAAAGAGAGGAAATGTGAGCAAAACAGAAACTGAGAGAACAGATCCCCAAACAGTGATCATATGAAAATTAACAGTGAAATTTTTATAAAGAGTTAGAGAAAACCTGTCATATACTGTTAGGACAACACCTTCCTCTGCCACTGTCTAACTGCTCCATGCAGTGCATTTTTTTTTTTTTTTATTTTATCAAATCCAGACTTACACTACCAAACAAAATGTCTTTTTTCGTCTTCTTTAAAAATACATCTAGAGTATGGCAGAAAGGCAGTCTCCACTTCTATTCTCTTAACAGATGAAGAAACAAGATGTCTTTTATCTTAGTGGCAAATGTAAAAGAAGATGACTCTTCTACTTCCATGTTACTTGGATAAGATGCTCACATGCATGCAGGACCCAGAGTGGCAGAGTAAAAAGGTGTTTTGGTGTGTGGAGAATCAAACTCAATTGCAAGAATGTGGGAGTGAAATATAGGGCAGCAGGAACCTGCAAGGACAAGAACATGACAGTACCAGATACAAAGGATGTATTTAAGTGAGCTGCACTGAATAGAAACGGAACACGAGTTGTTGGCAAGACACCAATGTCCATACAGCCCAGCTCAGTGGAGGGTTGTTCAGACCTGCGGAGAGAAGCCCAACAATGAATAAGCCAGGATGAGAATGACCTACGGTTTTCTGGGCTCCTGAATAGTCTTGGAGAGCAAGATCCAGCCAAGGATTAAGATTCTTCCGGGATGATTCAATAGTACAGTTTTGTCAGAATTGGTGACCGATTCCATGATTTTCTTTTAAGAGAAAGTTTCAGCTGAGATCTTACAGGTGCAGTAGGAATTAGTACAAATTTAAAACTTTGGAATCTGAAATATTATTAATAAAATATACAGCTATCTCAAAAATATTTGCTAAATTATCTGTTAATACTAAATACAAACACAATGTATAAATTTTATAAAAGAAAAGAAATACAGCAATTGAACAGTTTAATCAGTGACCTGATTAAATAGAATCCCTTGGCAGGTGACATCCAAGTCAATGAAACAAACATCCAGGTAACATGCATCATTTTATCTTCTCTTTATCCTGTGCAGTCTACTGGGCCTAGCATATTCAGTGTACCTATGGACATGGATATGACTTAACTCACACAAGTAAAAAGAAGAACTTAAAAATAGAAACGTAATGCGATGTGAAGATTATGTGCCCAGTTCCCAGGCTGTGACTCATATTTTTCTTTCTTTTTGATCAAGAACACTCAAGTTAGTTCAAAACTTTTTTCTTCTCTAAAAATAAACTTGGTAAATCTCAAATTCTTTACTTCATTACATTTATTTTCTATAAAAAAAACAAATATATCTGGAAACTTTCCTAGGCAACAGCCTATGGGAAGGATGGATAGTTAGGCTAGTGTAAGGTTCAACTGCAGTTAATCACTGCGATACAGAAACAGGAACACTTTCACTGGATATGTGATATTTACATCTTGCAATTTCTCTTCCAAAAGTCAACAGTGCCCCGAAAGCAACAACCTAGTGAGCAGATAGGTTGTGGGGAACTTCTCACAGAGTGCTAAATTCATCCTTTTGCAGGATAAAAAATCAAGATAGAGAAGGGTCGCAAATCTAAGGGCACAGGTCCAAGGACCTGATCTAAAAGGCTTTCAGCTGGAGCAGCAATATATTTGAGGGCTCTCCTTCCAAATAGCACGCTGGAAACAGAGGCTGGTGTTGGAGGAAAGGACTTTCAGAGGGTTGGTAAAGGCTTGAGAGCAGCTCTCAGGTGAAGGACTTGGGGGCGGTGGCTGATAAGAAGCTGAACATGAACCAGCAGTGTGCACTTGCAGCCCAGAAAGCCAACCGTGTCCTGGGCTGCATCAAAAGAAGCATTAGCAGCAGGTCGAAGGAGATGATTCTCCCCCTCTACTCTGCTCTCGTGAGACCCCACCTGGAGTACTGTGTTCAGATGTGGGGCCCCCAACATAAAAAAGACCTGGACCTGTTGGAGCGAGTCCAGAGGAAGACCACGACGATGATCAGAGGGCTGGAGCACCTCCCCTATGAGGACAGGCTGAGAGAATTGGGGTTATTCAGCCTGGAGAAGAGAAAGCTCTGAGGAGACCTAATAGCAGCCTTCCAGTACCTGAAGGGGGCCTACAGGAGAGATGGGGAGGCACTCTTTATCAGGGAGTGTAGTGAGAGGACAAGGGGTAACAGTTTTAAGCTGAAAGAGGGCAGATTTAGATTAGATATTAGGAAGAAATTTTTCACTGTGAGGGTGGTGAGGCACTGGAACAGGTTGCCCAGGGAAGTTGTGGATGCCCCATCCCTGGAGGTGTTCAAGGCCAGGCTGGATGAGGCTTTGAGCAACCTGGTCTAGTGGAGGGTGTCCCTGCCCATGGCAGGGGGGTTGGAACTTGATGATCTTTAGGGTCCTGTCCAACCCAAACTGTTCTATGATTCTATGAAATGGTATCACATTTTCACCAGTTCATTCATCAGCTTTCTCTATGAAAGGTTCACTAGACAACAATGATTTTTAATCAAATGTTAAACAATAAGTTAATTTTTAAAAGAATTTAGAATACCTAGGTTGTTAAATGTCACTTTCTATACAAATCCACCACCACCTTTAAAACAGAGCATTTGAAAATGGCAATATAAATAAATATATAAACAGAGATATAGATAGAGATAGAGATAGAAACAGAAACAGAAACAGAAACAGAAATAGAAATAGAAATAAATGTTAGCCGACATTCTACACTTTATCAAGCTTCCAGCATTTGTTAAAAATCCCAAAAATCTAAAAAGCCGTATATATTTTATCCATGGTTACAGAGTAAGAATAAAAGAACAAAAAGGTTGGGGTTTAGAACTCCAAACACCTTCTTCCTTACAAAAGAAACAGAAACATGAACAACTGGCCCCTCAGCTAGAAAGGCTGAGATATCATCATTCACACTTCCTGACTTCGATCTCTCTAATGACTCACATGTGGCTCATGGAGTTACAAGGTGCCAAAGTACAGTAAAAGTTTCCTTCCCCTCTTATATTTCAAAAACACAGGAGAGAGGGCAATTGCATTTGTCCACTGCCACTTGGAAGAAGACATGCCTATCACATGCGTTTTAGAATGACACATTCCAGGTAGGTGCTATGACATGGGATGAATCCTCCTTCAGCAAAAGGACAGGCCATGCATCCTATACTGGATGTGCTCCAGGGGTCCTGCCAAGGCCTCTGTGGTGTCAAAGTCATAGCTGTGAGGCAGTCTGCAAGGTGCATTGGTACTGAAGCCACAACCACTGGAAGCCTGGTCTCCTCAGCAGCTGGAAACCAAGCAGGCTTCTCAGTGGGGACATTTCCACGATAGATGTCACCTAATGAAACTGGCATTTTCTCATGAGGAATTTATTTTCTTCAGAGATTCCCAGACAGCTCTATTTTCTTCAGAGATTCCCAGCCAGCTCTAATCATAAAGAATGAATGCGGTGACCATGGAAAATTATACTGACCATGAGACAAGATTTACTTTGCCTAACTTCCACCATCTAGATCTTAAGTCTTATCTCAGACAGTCATCTAGGCAACCTCTACGATAAACGGTAGAATAAATGGCACTTGATTCCACTTACTTTAGAAGGCGAGAAAGGACAAGTCTGTCCTTCTCTACCAGTGCTGAAAAGAGCCTAAAGTCTTAGCTCAGTCAACTTACCAAAGCTATAATTCACTGAAACAAATCCCACTTATGATGCCAACTCTCACATCTCTGCTAGAAACCAGTTAGCTCTATCCAAAACAGAAAAGTTCATTTTCTGTTTTATACTGTGGTGTACAATAGCTGTTTATTTCATTCTGAAATTATTTCTATTAAATTATTTCATTTTGTAGCAATCTTATTGCCTGTGTTCAGAGGTCTGCTGCTAGAGGCAGTGAAGGATCTCCTGCATGGATGAAGCACTCCTGACACAATGTCTCCCCTCCACCCATGATACTCCAAGAACACAGAACGCAGTGTGATATTATCTGTGCACTGTCACCTGCAATAAACTCTCTTTCAGAAAATTTTGTACACTGGTGCTGTCTTGGTATCTTGACAACTTGATTCCTAGCCCAGTGCTTTTAGAACATCGAGTTCCTGGTTAATACAAAGATATGGAATGATGTTATTGCCCAAGGAATTACAGTTAACTGAAAATAGTACTTCAGTGGTAGAAGCCAATTTGATGTTGCTTAGTTTTTCCTCTAAGGAAGACAAACAGGAAGGATGATGAAGCCTCATATCTTTGAACTTTGACTTTGAACTTCATGGAGCTGCAACCTTTGTTTTTTGAGGAGACTGTATAAGCCAAAAGATCAAATTCAGAAGTTTGAGTGATTTCTTATATTGCTTATATAGTACATCAAAGCAAAATGAAAACATCAGTCATGAATTAAAAAAAAAGGAAGCTACAAAAACAATTTTACTACAGATATCTGTTATACTGACATAAACAAACTGTATTTACAGGTTCCCCTGTTTATGGCTAAAAGAAGCATTTCTAAATACCATCAGCTTCTGGAGCCATCAGTGTCTGACACTATAAATAAAATTTTATGAATAACTTTCTGCAAGGAAAGGGCACTTCCCTTTCACTTCCATGGAAGAACTCCTGAAGGACTCTCAGGAGTTTCTCAGAACCCACTTCTAAATGGACCTACATATAAATTAAAAGGGACTTAGCACATATCTCTACGAAAATAATTTTGTCATTGTAAACTAGTTATATAAGTTGCAGCAAAAGATGCTCCTGTTATTCCCAACAACACCTTATTGAAACTTCAGCAAACACCCATGAAGTACACCAGCTGTAATTGTCATGTTATACTCTGATACTGTGGAAAGAAAAATGAAGATGCTTATGTTTCTTTGGCTCAGCAATGCAAACTCTGACATTTCCTTCCCAGTAGAAAGCCTGGACTCTTGTCAGTACTTTCTCAAATAAGCACATATCTGATTGCAGCGGGATCCTTCCAAGAAGGCTGGTGGATTCACTCCTGCAGCTGCAGTGCTCTGAGCTCTGTCTGTTCACTGTTACCCACCCACAATTGTTTCTCAAAGTCTGCTAGAAAAGTATCATATTTCTTTTTATTCCTGACAGCTCTTGCTGGCTTAGCATCATCTAACTTTTGCACTTTCCTTTCTAGCATTTTATAACCCCCAGGTTCCACGATAAACTCTAGAGGAATCTAGACTGCCTTCAGACACTCACTGCTGCTCAGGGTGCAGTTCAAGCTGTTTTCAAATAATGATCCTCATCGTACATCCTCATGGATCCCCCAGCTGAAAATCTCAGCTTCCTCTTGGGCAAAAATGAAAAGATCATAAATCAGAGATGAAGGGACCATAAGGCAGGAGCTTGCAGGTGAACCATCTCCTCATTATCCATTAACAGTTGGACTCAATGATCTTTAAGGGTCTTTTCCAACCTAAATGATTCCATGATTCTATGGTTTTATTCACTCTGTAGGGACAGCCACTTAGCAGCAGCAGTTCCTTGTCTTCTCTCCATCAATCCAAGCAACAAGTTTCTCTTCTCCCTCCAGCTGGTGATGACAGTGACAAGGACTCTGCTTCCCTCAGAGCACAGCAGAGATGTGTGAAAGGATCAGTACCCTTTCTCCATCTTGGGAACCCTCTTCTTGAAAATCTGTGTTCTTCACTGGCATTGTGGAGAAGATGCAACACACACGGAGTCTCTCCACTCTGTTCCAGCACTCTGCAGTTTGCTGGATGCAGTGGTACATGTTCACAGGGAGCCTGAACACCTCTCCACTGCACAGAAACTATTCCTTGCTCAAACCACTGACAACACTAACCCTGCAGCACAAACAAGCCTTTCACCACCAGCTCACAGGCTATGAATTATTCACAGGTAATCCTGAATAAAATTCAAGTCAAGAATCTTGCATTTATTCACAGACAATCCGTGAGCCACAAAAAGGCAAAATCTACTCAATAATTTACTTTTTTTAACTTGGTAGTCCTGACAACAGATAACACAACTTAGGAAAATTATCCAGAAGAGATTTCCATGGTATTGTGCAATGGCTGCTTCTGATACCCAAGCTAATTCATGTCTTTCTACATGACAGAGCAATGAAGACAAACCTAAGTGGGCATATCGCTCTGCTTACTCCTTAGTATCCAGATCTAAGACCCAAACAGAGGGATCCTAACTCTCTTTTACTGCTTTGTAAGAAGGCAGTCCAAATCACAATTTACTTCTCAGAATGCCACTCCTTTACGAAAAACAACTTTTTAGACTGTAAGTCCCTTCATCTACATGTCCTACCACTGCAGTAAAGTGGAAATAATTAGTCAAATCCCCGCATCATTAATCTCTATATTTTACTCTGGCAAACTTCTAGACTTATTTGGTGGGAAACTTGCCTGCACAAACAAAAAAAGTTAGATTTGGCTTGCTGGAAATTCATAAATTATCTAGACTTCAGTACAACATTTTATCCAATGATTTGTGAAGTATTTCTAGGAAAATTATTCCCATTTACTCAGATCTAGGCATGTCACATGAAGAGAAAACTAGCTGCAGCTGCATCAGCAAAGGATAGTGATGCTAAACAGCTATGTGCTGTGTTAGAGGAGTTATCTGCTTGGGGGAGACCTGTGTCAGACTCTGCTGCTTGTGCAGGACAGCAATAATGATGTCACTATAATACACATCTCACCTGACATTGCTGGAATTTTTCAGATAAATAAGTTTTCTTCTATCATTATGTATTAATCAAAGCAAAACACTTTTGAAGAAAGCTTTTGATTTCGATGCCTGGTTTCTGCCTGGTCTCTTGACAATGGGTGGGACAGATGGCAAGGTCCAAAGTAGCCCTCACATAAACAAGTCTCAAGACTTTTGAGGATAAGCAGTTCTGAGGTGGCCCCTCCATTTGAAGATGAGGATAGTCTTGATTTTTGTCCACCCCTTCAGTACCACAAACAGATGCATGCAGATGTTCTTGTTTTCAAAACCCAACTCTTTCCAGCTCTATGATTCTCCCAGGAAGATCTCTTCCACTGCCTCTCAGCTCAGCCTTTCCCACTGCTGTGATCTTCTGCCCCCTCCCATTTGCTGTTCTCCCTTGCCCCAAATGTCTTCCTGTTGGTTCAAATCCTCCTTTGCTTGCCAGTTCCTTCCTCTATTCTCCAGACACAAATTCCCCTGTAATCCAGCTGCTGGCAGAGAATCAGCCATGGGATGATTTACTACCTGGGAGGTTCTGTCCGCAGAGGGGTGGGAATGAGGAAAAATTTCTCTGAAAGATCCCATCAACTTAATGTGAGAAATCTGACAAACCCATCTGCAACTCCTTTAAAACAGCCATTTCCCCAGGATCCAACCAGAAGGATAAGGGTTAAGAAGCACCACGACATTATTCACTGTCTGATCACTTATATAATGCTCCTTGGCATCTTGCAGGCTGTATATACAAAACCACCTCTCACACCAGTGGAATGCAACCATCGCCAGACTGAAGCGCAGCAGCTGTTTGTCATCTCCCAGTGCAAGGGAACGAAACTGGACCAAAAGCAAGGAAGTACATAATGTCCCACTGAGGGAGCAGAGGAGCAGGATATAGAGAATATTTTCCCCACAAGGAGGCAAACTGGCGAAAGGTGAACAAATTCAACCCCTCCACTTAATTGTCCAGCTAATCCTCTTTTCCTGTCACTTAGTCTTTGCTCCCCTAATGCCCAGGGAAGGAGATTATGCCTTCCCCATCCACAGAAGAAATCACTGCTCCCCTATTTTTTCTCCCTAATAGGTCCTCATCCTCCCTGTTTGGACTTACCTTCCCCTTGAAGAGCTCCGCTGCCACCCGATATCTGCGCATTCGGTCAGGATGTTTTGGTGACATCTTGTCTGTGATCAGGAGGAGGTGAAGCTGGAGTGTACTCTGCATCACACCTATTGCTGTCTGCCAAAAACACAGCCACCACCAACAGAGAGAGAAACACACACAGACAAGGTGATTGAGAACATTCGATCTGCATTGGATACACTGCCAGAGGGACATCAATCCTCATGCCTCAGCTGAGATTTCTTTGCAAGTCAGCCTCACAAGCAGGACAGCTTTCTTTAAAGGAGGAGAGATAAAATCTGGGTTCTTTGTGGAAGTGCTTAACCTCCTGGCTTTACCTGTTCCTGATATGAGAATCTGAAGACCACAAGGGTTCATCACTGGCCTCAGGACAGTCAATGAGTGGGCAGGGGGACTGCCCTGATACAGCAAGCTGAAGTCTAGAGGGGCAAGGGATTGGAAAGAGAAGGCCAGCAACTAGTGAACATAAGGGTGCCCTGAATCACTGAGGTCCAGCACCCAGCTGAACTGGGAGCAAGAAAGTTGAAAGGATATGTGGTGTCAGGGTTGGCATCTCCCCTTATTTCCTTCCTTTAGTGTTAAGCTGTGCATGGGATGGGGGATGAGTCCAGAGTTTCAGCAACCCCAGAGCCTGGGTATTCCAGAGGGCTGAGGGTTAACATTGCCTCCGCAGTCCCACAGTGGGAGAAGACCTGGAGCCAGCCGTCCCTGTCCCCAGGGTAAGGGCCAAGCAGGCAGCACACACTGGCACTCTGTGAGGAGAAAGGACTGGCACTGCCCAAGAAGCCACTGCACCATCTCCAGGTACTCACTCACTCAGTCGTCACCTCGCTTCTCCTGCCTGCTTCCCGCAACTCTGCAGCCTCTCCCTCAAACTAAACAGCAGCAGCTGGGCCAGACCTGCTGCCTCCCCCGTGCCACCGAAACCGCAGAGGCACAGACAGGGCAGCTCCCTGCCGGAGGGAGCAGAAAGTTTCCACACACTGCAGGAGTAATAAGGAAGGGGTCAGGGAGTGCACGCCAGCAAGGACTGTGCACCACAAAGCATCAAGGTTTTGGCACCCAGGGCTCTGCCATTAGCTTAATATTTATCAGACATTTTCTATCCCTTCACTTCTCTGGTAGTGTGCAGATGGGGCAGGGCAGAGTACAAGGGGTACAGACCAAGGCTGGTTAGGAGACCTCGTGGGAGAGGACAGGGTTGAAAGTGAGGGTGAAGCCCACCAGCTCCAGGGCTGGACTGAGAGGGGTCAGGGCTGGAGCTGCAGTTCCTCCGGCAGCGCCACACAAATGTGTACCTGTCCACACAGCCATGTGCAAGAGCAATGAGCAGAGCTCATCAACACGTCCAGGTCACGTCTGACTCTCCTGGAAAGCACACAGGGTAAGCGTTGCCTAAAAATGCCTCAAGTATGTGGGCAAAACAGTAAGGGCCCCAAGATGGGGAGAGGAACTCTCTCTCGGCAGGGCTCAGTGTGATCCGGGTGACCCCTGCCTCTGCTGACCAGCAGTATGTAAACAGCATATGCACAGGAAATAAATATTTACAAAATACCAAGCTACACTAGTAGAGCTGGGAGGGCTTCCGGCCGGGGACTGCAGGAGGCACTGTTAATTGCAGCACCTTGATAGGACTCCAGAGTTCAGGGCCAAAACAAATGGAACAAGAATTGTACTGCCAGTCAAGGTGGATGGAAGGGACCAGCTGAATAGGTCAGGACTTCTCGGTCAGGGAGACAGCCATGGAGCAAGAGCCCAAATCATCATCAGAAACGCATGACAGAAGAACAACGACCTAAGGAATCGCCAAAATGCAGTGGAGGCTCCAAGGGTTCAGAAGGTCTGGGTGTTTATAAAGACAACAAAGAATACCCCCACAGATGTAACTTAGGTATTCTCAAAGGTCTGTAAGGACATTGGGGCAGGATACAGCTTTTCAGTCCCCAGAAATATTATGTGATTTTGAAATTTTTTTTTCACATCCCTTATCAAGATAAAAAAAACAAATCCACTTTTAAAAATTATTTCTCAAAAAAAGAAAAAAACAGAAATTCTACAGTATTTCAATCCAGAAACAAAATGTTGCGCTTCCAAAACAAAATGCTCTCTATACTGGCAGGCTGCACCTGAGCTGGGAAATGTGCCAACCCTTTTAGCTGATCCTGGGCATCAGTTTGAAAAAGTATAGCTTTGAAACAGGTCGAGCCATTCTGCTTTGATTAAATTGGGCCTGGTCAGCACTGTTGTACCTCTTCAGAAGTCCACAGAAGAGTTTACTGGCAATGATAAAGTCCCAGCCTTGTGGCTATCGAGGCTTCTAAGACCCACTGGTTCCACAGCAACAAGGCCAGTGAACTGCTGAGTTTTCAGGAGAGCCCAAACCCTTGGTCACTCTCTGTAGGGGAGTGGAGCACTGGGAACCAGTGACCGCCAGTCAGGTGGGTGAGATAATGAAGATGGCCAACATGGAAGCATATTATGCCTGGTTTTTTTTGTTGAGATGATGAATTCTAGAGTAAGGGATGGAGCGGATGGGAAAAATTTTGTCTGGGAATTTTCCAAACAGCTCTTGAATATGCCTTCAAATAGGCAGGCTTATGTCAAGCCCTATGTACTGGGTGATGAAGAAGAGCCTGCCTTCTGGGAGTAGGTCAGTTGAGTTTCCATGTTTCTCAAGGATTCTCAGCCAAAGAGAGGGTTTCATGGCTGAGCAGGGTCTGCAGGCATGGCATGACATGGCAAAGGCCCACGGGAGGAAGTGGCATTGCTGGCAGGAGTGGCAAGAAATGGAGCTCTCTGCCCACCAACACCCCAAATTTACTTGAAGGCTAAAGGAATTGCCATGCCCCTCTTCCTCTCCCCACCCCCGCTCACATGTCCCAGCACAGTATCTGCTTCCACTCCGCGTATGGAGTAGCAGCAAAGAGCTGTGTGTCTTCCCCAGTGCCATCCACACCACTGCCACAAGCCTCACATACATCTGGGTATGCAAACTCTTGGGCCAGAGGATGCCCACGAGGAGGAGGTCAAGTGCCAGGGTGAGGGCTAAGGGGAGCTGGTAATTACCACAGGGTTGTACTCTGTCACCAGGCGGAGCTCGTTAATTCGAATGAACCGACTCATCTTCTCAGCATCAACATCTTTGTTGCTGATATCCAGATCCCTCCGGTCGTTGTCTACCTGGAGACATGCAAAGACACCTACAGTCACAGCTGTCTTCCCCTCTCAGCACCCCCCACAGAGGCATTGATGGCACACACTCCTGGAGATACCCACTCCCTTAGGACACCACCTTCTTCTCCCCCCAGCCACGTAATCCCCAGTTCTGGAGGTCCAGAACCATTAGACCTAGAGGGACCAGCCTGCACTTTGAGATAAGGAACTTCCACCCTCTTTCAGTTTCCCAAGGACAAGGCAAACTCATGGCATAACAGAAATCACTGAGGACTCCAGACATCCCTACGGTATCAGCTCCTGATCCACTGGAGACAGGCAGGGTTAGTTGATAAACTATTCTAAGCATTGTGGGGAGAGATGGTTAAACAGCCTAACTCCTCACATCCATTTTGGCTTTACATCCCCTTTAAAAGTCTTCATCTGTTTATTCTATTTCTTTTGCAAGTAATAAACACTGGCATAGGCCTGTATTGATTTCCTGGAAACATTGTGCAAACAGGAAATCTCTCCAATAAAAAGAGGATTTTTTTTTCCAGTACAGCAGAAAAAAAAAAAAAAAAAGAAAAATAAACCCAAACCTAGCACATTTTAGCTTTAGAGAAAAATCCATCCTGCCACATATCTCCCCACACTCCACTCTTCCCCCCCAAATGATGTGATTTTATTGAGGTTTGCTTGACCTGGTAAACAGAGAAAAAGCAGGCAAACATGGACTGATAGCTAAGCCACATAAAGGAGCAGAGTTGCTGCGCAGTACCACCACAGGACGTGACTGACTTGAGCCATGGGGACACTGGGCTCTGACATGCAATAGGATCAAAGTTTGGGATTGGAAGGCCTTTGATAGAAGTGTTGAATGAGGTTCTTGGGGCTGAGGAAAGGTCTACGTGCACACCCCAGATTTTATTCTCTGCATCTGAAACATGCTTGTGTTAGCTTTTTCCAGTGCTGTGCAGACATCTAAAGCCCTTTTTTCTGTTCTGTGGTCACCGGCAAGGCCTTTGATCTGGCAGGGGGACACAGCACCCTGTCTGGCAACCCTAACTGCTGCTTTTCAGGCTGTGCAGCCTGATTCCTCTCACAGATTTGCTCCTTCATTAAATGAGAGGGCAGCTCTACTCAAGTAAATGGGATCAGGGCAGTGCAACACCTGGGTGCGTGAGATCAGACAGGCCTTGGGAACTAATCTAAAGCACCCCACACCCTATAGAAAGTCTTTTCTTGACTTTCATGGGCTTCTGGAAACACCTGATTTCCATTTTGGGATAATAATGTCCTAAATCTGTGTTCAACATTTATGATTCCAAGAAGATAAAGCTGGAAAATATCCTGCATCTAATAGCTGAAGATCTGATCAAAATGTATTCATCACTCCATATAATTAGCTTATTAGCATATTTTAACTATGCTCTTTTTAGGTCTATCAGGCCAGATTCCTCACTAGAAAAAAATCAGTTTCCCTCCACTATATGCAGAGAAGTCTCACCAGTTGACAGCAGCCCCTCCTACTACTGTAATTATGTTTTAAACTTCTAAGCATTATGTGTTTCATACTCTGCAAAAGCAAAGAAAAAATTAGTTTATGCCTCTGATTCACTGCTATCCTTGTCACGCATCTTTGTATTCTCAAACGGGTATTTGATTCCAAGTTCCTGTTCCAGTTCTTTTTTTTTTCCTTTTTATCTCTGACCTCTTACTCCTACACAGTATTCAGCACAGAATAAAAGGAAAAACAGTATGTCTGAATAACTTAATTTAAGAAAAAACTACAATTAGACAAGTGAATTGTCAACCACATTTGAACCTGACTAGTGTATTAGTTTCTTGGTTGGTTTTTTTCCTATTAAACAAGAGTTCAGCTGCAAAAACTGGACAGTGAACAAAGAATATTCAATATAATCCAAATTCCAACAATCCAGACATTTTCTTTTATCAAACACCCTCCCAATGCAGTCATCTTCACTATCAGCAACAGCACAAAAACAAAGGATCTTTTCAATATTTTTGGAAGAAAACCACCATGACTAAGAACCAAACTGAGATGGGTGTTGCTTGCAATTGCAACATCTGCCCATAGCAAATAAAAGGTTAAATAAAAGGACCTGCCTACTTATTGCTCACTCTTAGATCATTCTCTTTGAATTATTTGGATAATGCCAGTGGTAAACACAGTGCAGGAAATGAGGAAAAAGAAGGGGGAACAAACTGGCTTTGTCTAATTTTTTTGTACAACCTGGATCTAGAACTTGGCCAAGCTGCCACATTTAGTTTCCCTAGAACACGTAGTGTGTCCCCATTCCCACCACCACCAGCCTGTGTGGTTAGAGCTCTAGTGACACAACACTTTTAGGACATCTTGTACTACCTAGTGCCCCTCTCAAGTGCCACACTTGTGTGAGAAGGGGCATCATGAGGAAATTTATATAACCAGGAGAATACTTGCTCTTAGCTTTTGTTAGTACTCTTGAAACAAGTACACAGCTCTTCCCGATATGGTCTCCTTAAATTTCAGCAAACATAGCTTCAAATTCAGTGAGGCACCAGCACTTAGAGCTGGAGTCAACAAAGATTTGCACTGGCACAGCATCCTAAGAAATTGCAAAGTAACCTTTTTAATGGGCATGTGCCCAAAGCATATTTAGAGAGTAACTCTGCAAACCACAGTGCAGGAGAGAGAAAAGAGTGTTTGGGATTTCTTTTGGTGGCAGAGCATGTGTAACAGCAGAGACTCAGTCTGGATCTGTTTTCAGTCACGACTGAAAAACTGTGCACCCAAGGAGACAGCTCTGCCTGCCTGATGTGACACTTGGCAAGATTTTATATCAAGCCTGCTGTGTTGATCCATTGTAATATGGCCTCTAAGATGCTTTTCATGTGCCTCAGGAGCAAGTCTTTCCAAAACCACTGAAACCCCATCCAACTAAGACTGAACTCCGGGCGGGTCACTGAGAAACACAGACATCATTCTTGCAAAGAAGTGGGTGCTGGACTAGATCCACAGGAGATCTTAAAATGGAGAATCCCATCAGGTGTAATAAATGTTGCACGACACAGTGATGAGCACTCTCAAAGCAAAAAGCAAAAGACCTCTTTGGGGCAGGAAGCTCTGCAGATGTGCTTTCAGGTGGGCAGGCAGAGTGTTAATGGCAAGCCTTTTTTTTGGCTTGCTCTAAAGGAGAGATGAGCAGCTTTCATCTTCTTCTTTCTCACTACTACCCGCAGATCTCATTTCTCCTGACGCTTGACCACAGGCAGTTTTTAAGCTCTTGTCCTAGAGCCGCTCTCACCAAAACCAGCGGGCAGGGGAACTCCTGCAGCAGAGCGTTCATTTTGTACCCACAGCCTTTGGCATGGCACCGTGCCCCCCACCCCCGCGGACCCA